GGGTGGGCCAAGTGGGTTCATATTTTTGTAATGAGTTGCCGCCGACTGTCGCCACGAAGCGGCGTAAAGCGCAGCGCGACGGATGGGTTAACGCGCGCCCGGGTTATTCGCTAAAACGTCCATTCGCTCAAACGTCGCTGCTCGCTAAAATGTCATTCGCTCTTGTGATATGGACCCATACACATTCGCAGCTACGATAACTGCGTCGCATACATTCTTCCTCTCTCTGGTATATAACAAGCAGACTGCAGACACTGGCGAGAGGTAAGTATTGACACGAATGGCAGTGATGACTCGATGAATAAGCCGATGAGGAACTGAAAGTTTAGTATGCAGACTTGTGGCCGAGAAAACGAGAGAGAAATAGTGCTAGCGTCGCAGTCGGCGTTACCACAGGGGGTAGAGCGCTGAAGCGAGACTGACTCCGAACCGCCCCGCGGAGCACCTTTTGCACCAACACCTTTTTGCACCCGCGTGGGTTTCTGGAACATTAGGCGTAGAACGGTCGGTGCGCAGAATATTCGTGAGTCGATCAGGCGACAAAGTTCTCGAACTTACGAAAACGCAAAAGAACAAAGAGAAGCGTCCGCTCCAAGGAATCGAGCCTAGTGCCTCCGCGGGAGTTCAAACATGGTAACCATTCGACCACGCACTCGCTCGCTCGGAGACGCGCGTGACAATATCTTGCCCGTTGCCTCCACTAACGCCATTCAACGCAGCGGCATGATTGCCTTTGAATCATATCATATTAGTCGTTAGTTGTTCATACAGCAGGAGGTTAGTCTGTCAGAACATGGCGACATTGTTACCCACTGTAGATAAGCAATTTAGCTAGTGCAGTACGACTGCTAGCCTGGGGTTTTCGACGTTCACCACACGGTATAGTGATACACGACCGCACGCCGGTACGATGCTCATCCAGATCGAAACGGGCAGGGGTGGGGATTGAACCCAGGATCCCCGGGTTCTGCAGCGCGAGCTTTCGCTCCACGTGCTCCGAGTGCCTTTGAACTACAGGGTGCGGCCGTAAAAACTTTCACATTTGGCACGCCTAGCAAAAATCGAATTTCAAACATACATACTTGAAATTGGGCACACGAACGTCATTTATTCCAAAGTTTTTTGCCTATTTTTTTCAGACGTCATCTCTGGAGTAGCGAATTATTAGGAAGATAACAAGAATGGCAGACGTGCATTTCCTATGGCCTATACCCGCCCGTTCGCCGTCTGCTATCTGGTTCGCGACGCCGCTAACAGGTGGCGCACTGAACGCAAACACGCGGGAAACTCCGCACGAAAGGCTGGTGTCGGGCGAGATAATCGCGATAAAAAGTGATTTGAACGAAATATATGAACGATTGTTGAAATTGCCTGTTTCAAGTAAAGTTCTGACAGATCGTCATGCAAGCAAGAAGACACCATAATGCGACGAGATAATTTAATTTACAGCTGCTCGTCTTGTTGACAGTTGCGGGTCGCTCTCGAAGACAGCAAGCACCACTTAAATTAGCTCCTCATTTTTCAGCAGGCTCTCACGTTCACTGACTGGATTCTTCTTTTTAAAGTCTTCTCCACTCACAAAACGATCCGCCCAACTAAAAACAGTCGGGCGTGAAGGCGGGCGTTTATTAAATTCAGTGCGAAGTTTTCGTGGTACTGTGGCCACCGAGTTCCGCTCCACGTACCACTTGACTGCCTGGGCACACTCACTTGCCAAGTATTACGGCATCGCTGCAGTTATTATCAAAATATTTTGATAATAACTGCAGAAGATAGTTCAACCGGGAACGGACCCGTCAACAGATAAGCAGACGACAAAGGAAGACACACGTTCGTCTGCTTTAGAACATATTTTTATTAAACGAGGGCGTCCGCTAGTTTCTAAATTTCAAGTAAAAGGGCATAATCGTTCACATATTTCGGTAAAATCACTTTTTATCTCGATTATCTCGCCCGACACCAGCCTTTCGTGCGGCGTTTACCGCGTTTTTGCGTTCAGTGCGCCATCTGGGAGCGGCGTCGCGAACCAGATAGCAGACGGCGAACGGGCGGGTATAGGCCATAGGAAATGCACGTCTGCCATTTTTGTTATCTTTCTAATAATTCGCTACAGTAGAGTTGACGTCTAAAAAAAATAGGCAAAAAACTTTGGAATAAACGACGTTCGAGTGCCCAATTTCAGGTATGCACGTTCGAAATTCGTTTTTTGCTAGGCGTGCCAAATGTGAAAGTTTTTACGGCCGCACCCTGTATATGGGGTTGATCCTTTTTAGGTCAGAGCGCGAGGTCCGGATTCAGGGGCTTCTTCGACAACAAGATTCTAAAGGAGCAACCGCCGCTGTTTGTACTTCTTGAGTTCTGACATACATCCTCACAATATTATGTTTGATTGAACGTGTGTTCTACGAAAATGCCGTCAACTGCTTTCCTTCTTTTTTCTTTTTTTTTCAAAATAGACAGTTTTTATTATTAGGCCTCCCGATTCAAAAGTTAACATGACACGTCTAGGCTCAGGTTATTTTTCACTAGCGTTCTAATCCGTCTAAAATCATTTTGCAGCCCGTGAATTCTTTCTATAATTGATATGTACAGAGCGATAATGTCGGACGCCTCGCAAATCAGCCACAGTCCGCGAGATGAACGCGAGCGACCGCCGAGGGTGACTCGCTTTACCGGCAAGATAAGCGATTCCCTGGCGTGCATGCTCCCCGCGAGACGAAATACTTTGCCGCATACACTTGCGCTGCTTAATGCCGCCTGCCGGGAGCCACGCGCACGTTTTGCCGGCTGCCTTCGTATCGCGCGCGTTCTGTGCTGACAGTCATTGTGCAGCTGTAGTGAAGCGTAAAAACATTTTAAATTCGCGCCAGAATGAGCCGCCATTGCCGACCTTCTCTTGTTTTACCGTGGTACCGAGCCACTGGAGCGGACGTCGACGATCCTCCGCGAAGGCATATGCTGAGGAGAAGAACACAGTAGCATCTAAGGTGGCAATGACCTCTCATTCTGAGGTAATGATGAAGCGAAGCGAACAGAGTAAGAGGAAACAAAAACTGAAGGTCGGTTATGGCGGCGCCCATGCACGGCTATACTGAAAAGCGTCTATATGGGTGTACTAGAATGGGATGTGGGAAAATAATTGAAAACGAGCGTGTTGTTGAATTGATACGAATACTTGAAAGAAGAAAACATCGAGGACGAGGACGAAAACAGGACATCTTTTGAAAGAAGTCCTGTTTCCGTCCTCGCCCTCGATGTTATATTCATTCAAGTATTCGTATGTATAGGAAAACCGCGGCCTTTTTTCGTAGGGCGTTGTGGTACCTCCGCGCGTTGATACCACTAAGGGTAAATTTGGCGCTGTTCGTAGGGGCGCCGTACGCGGTCGAGTTGCTTCGCAGCAGGGTGTACTAAAACGCCTTATCTTTTCTAGAACCCTTCTAGAACACCTCATCGGTGGCTCCTGAAGCTGTCGGGGTTACGGTCGCATCGGTGTTTACTCGGCGTTCTCGTGTTGGTATGCCATGCCTTCCACAAAGTAGAAGAAAACGCAATGCTGGTGTTTCGTCACGGAGGGCGATGGAGGATGCAAATCGTGTGGGGATATGCTATCCCCTTTTGAGCACCCACAAACTCCGGCACGTTTCAGAAGTGGGCCCGCGCGATCCCTAGGCGGACAATTCTCTCGAAGAAGAGAAAAAACAAGCCTCTCGAAGAATTGCTTAAAAAAAAAAAAAAAAAAAAAGCTCGAGGGACACCTGAGCACTTACGATTTGTTAATGCGAACGCATGAAGGTCGTTCTTCCGCCCCCTTAGTTCGTCTCCGGTATACTGGCGTGGACGGCCACGTCTCGGCCGTGGAGCTGCTGCGGAGTGTGCCCGAACGCGCTCTGCCTCGCTCGGCGGCCAGACGCTTCGTTTCACCGGCGCGATGACGGCACGGACCCGCAGCGCCATGGGGTGGTGGTCCTTCAAACTGACGCGCGGCAGCCAATGGGAGCCTCGGAGCCTATCCATCCGATTTCGGCTTCACCTGGTTTCATTGGGAGAGGGGAAACTAGGTGTCGTTTGGCCCGGGCTTTTGCGCGGCTTCAAAGGTGAGGGCCATCAGAAAGCGGCTTCACTTGGCTCCATTGGGAGGAAGGAGTTCAGGTGCCGTTTGGCCCGGTTTCAAAGCTGGTGACGTCGGCTCGCTGCATGGGATAGTTAACGTTTTCGCATTAAAAAGAAAAAACGCGACGTTGATAGCAATAACAAAAAATAATACTCGAAATGTTTGGTAGGTCGATGTAATCAAGTGCTGCAAAACACAAGCAATAGCCCGAGATGTTTACGGCACCCCTCTCCAAGGCGCCACCTTGCGGCATCCGCGCACACCGGGACCAATCCTGGGCCTTCGCTTTACGCACCACCCCTTCTAGAACGCCTTAGCGTATGTTGGAGGCTCTGCTTAGACGATCCCGATGGCACCGCCGGTATCCCGCCGAGCAAAATCTGTACACTACCCAGACACCCGAACAACATAGCGCAAATTGCGAAAATATGCCGCGTCCAAGGTGGGGGCTCCCCCATTCCTCTGGCACGTATACGCCAGCGCGGCTTGGCGCAAAAACGGGAAGTTGTTACCACTTGATGCGCGCCCTGGGAAGAAAATGGAGGGATTTCTTCCCCGTGCGAATAATTAGAGCTGCAGCCTCACTATAGTCGTGCATTCTAGAAACGAATCGCAGCAGACACGATGACATCTGCAGTCACGCCTCAAGCACGTTGGAATCATGTTTGCTTCACACATGAACATGTCTGCAGACAGTTTCTGTAACCGTGACACAAGGAAGGCCTCGGAGAGTGACTGTCTTCTGCAAGATGTATTAGCAGAGTGGCCGCGGATTTGTGCTAATACTATTGATAAATCACTTTACGAATCTGTTTCGCTTGGCACGTACCCCTGTTTCTTTGTTTGCAGCAAAGTTAACGTTCCCTCGTGGTCTCTGGACTCGCAGAAACAGGCGTCGCTGATTCGGCAGCTGGAGGAGGAGCTTCGCATGGCGCACATGCGCAATCCGGACGCCGAGCTGCGGCAGCACCTGGACGCCCTGTACGCCGAGAAGGAGCACATGGCCAAGGAGATCTTCCTGCTCAGGGAGACCATAAAGGTGCGCCCCATCGGACCCCGATTGGGCCGCTCATCCGCCCCGATCGGTCGCTGATCGGAGTAGCTCCCAAGAAGATCAGATAGCGAGTGAGGTCACGACAACCGCGAGCTTTCTTTTTTTTTTTTCCAGGCGCGGTTGGTATGGACGCGGAGCATACGAAACGATTGTGTCGCCACCTTTCGCGTTCCCTCGAAAGCGAACCTTCGCTAAATTGCGTATGTTCCCGAATTGAGTACACATCGACTAGATATGGTACGACGAGATTTATTATTATTATTATTTATTTGTTTCGACTTTAGTTGCTGATGTCACGGCACCGGCCATCGCGGTGGCCTTGCTGGTGAGCGCCTACCTTCTGCGGATTTCCTGTCATCTAATTCCATGTGTGCGATGACCTCACCTCCGAGCCATCTATTTCTTTTTATTTATGCTGCGACTGCCACCAGTGCCGTAACAACAATCTATATTAGTTCTCACATAAAAAAAAAAAAAAAAAAAACAAACAAACAATAGATGTAGTTTTGCCCATGTTTTTGGCTTTTGCAACGTGTACGTACTAATAAGATAACGGCAAGCTAGTCTAAAATTCCCCAACATATATCTCAATTTACCATAAAAAAAGGTAAATTAATAAAGCTCCAAGCAAAAAAAAATATTTGTTTGCTTTTTTTTTTTTTGTACTTTTTTTAGGTGAATATGAGTTTAGTGGTGGCCCTTGACCGTTGAGCGGCCCTCTTCGCAGGAGCTGGAGTTGCGGATCGAGACCCAAAAGCAGACGCTGGCCTCGCGGGACGAGAGCATCAAGAAGCTGATGGAGATGCTCCAGAACAAAGGCGTCGGTGAGTGGCCAAGGGACGTCTCGTGTCGTTCACGGCTGTCGCTCGAGTCGGACGAGAAACGACGAGTCTAGAAGGAAGGGAAGAGGCGCACCGGCCGAAGCGCCATCATATTTTAATGCGAAAGCATTAACTGTCCCATAGAGCGAAGCCGGCGTTGTTTCTAGCAGCAAAAAATGACACCTAAATTCCCATTGGCTGAGCGAAACAACTCTTAAATTCCCATGGGCTGCAACGTGTCATGTGGCTCTATAGCAACGATGTCATCGTTGCTAAGGAGCCAGCCGAACTGCTGGCGGCGCAAGGGAAGGAGAGGGGGGGGGGGGGGGAGGGGAGGGTTATGCGCTGGCCTGACGTTAGGCCTAAATTTTGGCCTATGTTACAATTTGAGGTCTAACGTTGTCAACCGGTACGCGCAACTGTTTGACGTGAGGGGGGACGCGGGTATGCGCTGGCCTGACGTGAAGCGTAACGTTCCGCTTTGAGGTCTAACATCGTCAACCGGTACCCACAGCTAGGGCAATGATGATCAGGAGAGGAGACGTGATTTCAGCACGCGCGACGCCGAGCTTCGCACTCTCGCCGCTGTCTTACCCAGCGGCGCAGCACTCATGAGCGAACCTCTGCAGCGAGCCGGGGCGGTCTGCGCAAAGCACCGCCGCATTCCCTATCGGCGCTGCGGCCTCTTCTGCTCCAATCGGCGCCGAATGCTTTCGCATTCACCTTCCCAGCGTGCTTTTTTTTTTTTTTTCATCGCTAAGCCTAACTTGTTTTACTAAATAAGTTTCGCCTTTGGCAACTGCAGGGTGAAACCCTTTACAATCGAGTATCAAATGTTCAGCCGTCTGGTCCTGCTCGCCACAGGCTGCTCACATTGTATTCATATTCTGATATTTAGCTCTGCACATCTTAGTTCGCAACACTCCCGTCTTAGCCACAAACAAGGATCAGCTGATTGTCGTATATACAGGGTGTAAAAAAAAAATATTTGCACATTCTTTTTTACTAACTAGGCATCGCCGAACGCTCATTCTCCGCCCAAACGTAGCGCCAGAGGTCACAACCAGATGCCAAAGTTTCAGCCCGATCCGGTACTTTATTCAAAAGTTATATGCGATTTTCTGAAAACTTCAATGGGAAAATTGAGCCTATTTTTGCCCGTTTTCGGTTTCTGGTGCCCATAGAGCCCTATGTATTCGAAAACTCCGTCGACCGCCATTTTCCTATTGAAATTTTCAGAAAATCACTGATAACTTTTGAATAAGGCTGAAACTTTGGCATCTGGTTGTGACCTCTAGCGCTATATTTGGGCGGAGAATGAGCGCTCGGCGATGCCTAGTTTATTTTTGCGGCAAAACAGAATGTGTAAAATGTTTTTTTGTGACACCTTGTACTTTTTTTTTTGGTAATATCCACCATGAATAATCCAAATGTCTTCAAATCTGAGCACACCGGCCCCATATTTCTTTGTCTGTTGATTTAAATTTCTTTTAACTGGTGTTTTCTCATTTGCGTTCCTATTACCACCCAAAAATATCAATCTTAAATTTCCAGTTGGCATTCTGCATCTTGTGTCGACACTATTTATGTACAAATGGTTAAAGGCTCATCTTGCTAAACGTCCCTTATTCATTTATCTCAGTCTATCACCAAAATCGACCATACAACTAGCTTCCCGGCTTTTTATTGAGTCCCATGTCGCCTCGTACTCCTTGGTCTGGTGCTTTACATAGGCTCTTAGAGATGGTCCACCCGCACCGCGTCGCTTTATTTCTAAGTCTGCACTCTAAAGAAAAACTGATCGTAAAATAACTCTTGGGGGTTCTTTGACATGTCCATATGTTCCATCATGAAAAAAATTATTTTAGGCCCCCCGCCTCCCCCCCTCCCCCCCTCCTCCCCCCTAAAAGGGTACTTCGTGAAAAACCTATAAGATGTTCTTTTAAGCTCCTTTTCTTATGCGAAAAAGTTCTTCATCGTCCAGTTGCCTTTCTAGTGCGCCAGGGGCGATAGTGCTTGAGGCGAAACCGTTCTTCACGAGCTGAAAGAGTTCTTGGGGCGTCAAGAACCTTTCAAGTACGGATATTTTTTAGAGTGTGCTTGGACATCTGGCATCATACACACAACTGCGCTCCCCAATGTCGGCATCATAACTCGCTTCCCCACCTGTCATTGCTCCATTATCGATGACGGCTGCATCCTTTCCACTTGGGTGCGCCCTGGTGAACGCGCTCGTCTTTGCTCTTGGGCAGGGAGCCATGCGCTGGAGGAGCAGAGGGTGGAAATGGAGCGGCTCAGGGGCCGGCTCATCGAATCCGAGGCCCGCGCCAGGCACCTGGAGACCATGCTCGACACCAGAGACCGAGATATGGGCAAGGTGAGCCAGGGCCTCGGGCCGCGCCCGCTTCGGCCAGCTAAAGGGTGCGGACCCGGCGCGCGCGAGCGCAGCAGCAGAAACCGCGTGGGTCCGGAGTCGTAACCTGGGGAGCTCGCACCGCGGCAGACGGCTCGGCGTCGCCGCGCTGCGAGGAGCGTCTGCGCTCCACGTACGGCAGCCACATTGCCATGATGGAGGGCATCATCGACACCAAGGTAGGTCTCCCATGGGCTCCTGAAAACTTCGCGCTGAGGGCACGCCATGCCTGCGCCCCGTTCCTGAGGGGCGCTGTTGCAGGACGTCCTCGGCACACGGGTCTCTCTCTGGTTGGCTTAGTCCTTGAGAACGGCGACGTGTGTCCCACTTCAATGTAATTTTGGCGGAAAAAAAGGTTCATGCCTCTTTGCGCTGGGAGTTCATGGTAATTCGAGTATGACACCGATCTCCCTTTTTATTCACCGAACTCACTAGAAAAAGGCCAATGGAAGGCGTTCCGACCATTCTCGGAACAGTGCACTCACGGACCTCGGAGGGTGTACAAAATCGCGCCAAACGTGCGAAGTCCACGTTTCGTGCGTTCTGCTGAGGCTTGTCCACGGCGTAGGATGATAACTGCTCTCAGTGACTGCATGGGACAAGCCTCAAGCGGTATCCCCTAGTATCCCCTTGCGCGTCGCTCTGTGTGTATTTGTCTGTGTGTGTACGCGCGCGTGTGTGTGTGTGTGTGGAAAAGGGGGGGGGGGGGGGGAGCCTGGTGGCTCGCATGGCCCTGGCGGCTCGCATGCGCGTGGTGTTGTGCCCGAGTGTTTTCCCAGTCACGCTTTTCGCACGCTCCCTGTCTCCTTCCACTCACGACGCCCCGCAGCCGAAACGAACACTCTCTCGGAAGTCGGTATTATCGCTCGAGTCCCTCAGAAGGGCGACCCGAGTCGTCAGTGACAAGAAGGCGCCCAGCCTGCCTCGGTCCGTGCGGCAGCTGTAGCATGAATCCGATCGCAACCCTCAGGAGGAGGCTGTGTTGGTCGTTCTTGTGTGTCCGATAACGGTCTGCGCGCGCAATTAAGGTCCTGTTCTGGTAGCAGGGCGCTCGTTGGCTTCCGTTGTGCTTTGGCTACGCTTGAACGCTCGAAGCTCACGCGACACTGAAGCGTCATCGAAGGTAGGAAACTCGCGCTGGAGCCGGTGAAACAGCGCGAGTCATCATTCTGCGAGTGACTGTCCCCCTTGGTCAAAATGATGGCCGATCATCATCACCATAATTTATGTTCCTCGAAGGCCCGTAGGGCAGTATACGAGGGGGGTGCAATAATACAAACATGAGAACAATGAACAGAAATATAACACTGTATGCTAGTTGGTTAGGTTCGATAGAAAGAGAGTGACGGATTCAACAAATTTTGTAGTATCATGTATAGAAACGGATGTTTCGAGGTAGTGAGTTCCAATTCTCGAGATCCGAAGGTAGTGGGGAAGTCGGCTGAGAACCCGTGGTGGATCGAATCGGACGTATTTTACGTAGGTGACCTAAACAAGGGAAATCGCGGTGGGGAGGTAATAGTAATGATTCTTTGAGGTGAGTATCGTAATAAAACAAAATCAAAAATTACGAAGGAGAGAGAGGCGTGACACCCGGCAGCGATGGGAAAGTGAATGAGGGTTAGCTGATTGGCGTAATCCTGATATGCTGGTGTATGTTGAGTAGTTATTATAAATAAAGCGAAGGGCTCTCCTTTGTACGTATTCTAGATGATTTTGGTGTGACTGCCATGGATGATGCATATTCTAGCTTGGATCTTATAAGATATATGATACACATTCTAACTTGGATCTTGTAAAGTAGTACATCCCTACCAAAAAACTGAGTATAACTTTTCGTTATCTGGTTTATGGAACTGGAAATCTATCCGGATTCTGTCGGGATATCGGGTTTTCAGAAATTATTCCTTTGTTTGCAATTTGGATTTGAGGTTTCTAAAAAACAATTCCAGTTAGATTTCCAGTTACATAATCTAAATAGTGAAAGGTTATACTGGGTTTGTCGGTAGGGATACGCTAGTCGTTTTACAAAGGTTGTAGCAAGTTTGCGGTTTCGGCGCAAATATCTGAGAGAACGGTTATTTTCAGAAATAACAGAGGTTATATGAGCAGTCCATGATAGGTCACAGATGAGAAGAACACCTAGGTATTTATAAAATGAGCCGGCTGTCACTTGAGTGTTAACAAGGTTATATGATAATGACATGGCCCTTAAACTGCGGAAAAATAACAGGGATTTACATTGATTAAAGTTTAGCGTCATTTGCCGTTTTTTGCACCACTAGAGTACACACGCAAGGTCTTTCTGGAGAATTAGATGATCATAATATGAAAGAATGGGCCGGTAAATGACACAATCGTCGGTGAACAGGTGCACAGAAGAAGCTATTTTCTGCATGAGATCATTCATGTAGATTAGGAAGAGAAGGGGGCCGAGTACGGTTCCCTGGGGGACGCCGGACGTTACGGTAGAGGCTTGCGATTTTACCTTGTTAACGGATGAATATTGGGTACGGTTAATTACGAATTCAGAAATCCACTTGAAAACAAAGGGGTGAAATTAACGTCGTTAAGCTTCGTTAGAAGACGTTGATGAGGAACTTTTCCGAATTATTTGGAGAAGTCAATGAATATGGCGTCAGTTTGAACATTCGAATCGAAGCTCGAATAAAGGTCAGTAAGGAAAGCGGTTAGCAGGGTTTCACACGAGCAAGATTGACGAAATTCCTGCGAATGTTGAAAAATCAGGTTATGAGATTCAAGAAAGTTTCTTAAATTTGAGTAAAGTATATGCTTCTAGACCTTAGACGGCACACTGGGGCAAGAAATGGTATTTTAGTTAGTATAATGAGTTGGCGATCATCATTTTTGTGAACAGGAATTACGTTAGTGAGTTTCCACTCATACGGAACTATGGAAAGCGTGAAGTTGTGTGAGAATATGTCACAGAGGAAAAGAGAAGAAATGGGTTTAGTCTGTTTTAGCACCTTCCAGCTAATTTTGTCAACACCAGTGCTCGAAGATACCTTTAGGTTATCTATTCTTTCAATACGCCTATCAATACACCGACATATTGCTTTCAGTATGTCCGGTGTTCCCAGGCTCGGCAAGACAACATAGATACAGGGCACCTTGCGAGAGTACGATGCCTTGTGCACCGTTTTCGTGCGGTTCTTGTTACTGCCCTCTAGGGGACTGCTAGCGCTATAGCGAGTAGCCACTCTCTCCTCGAACTAGATTAAAGCCGCGTACAAAGTTAGGCAACGGGCGGGCGGCTCTATGGAGCTGGTCGCGGGCAGCGCAGATAATAGGGATCTCGCGTTCATTCTGATGCAAACCTGCGATTATACCTGGGCCGGCTCACTCGAAACAAAATGACTCGTTCCTTATTTTAGACTCGCCGAAAGTGGGTTTGGCTACACTCTAAAAAATCCCGTGAGTCTGCTTTCCCGCACAACACTCGGAGAGCCAATCACCGCAACTTGCGGAGGCAGCTCAGCGAATGACAATGCCGAAACATATGTTTAGACCAAAACACGCAGTCTGAGTTGTGACATTAAGCAATGCAAGCGTGACGTTTTGCACTGCTTAATGTCACAGCTCAGACTGCGTTTTTCGGTCTAAACATATGTTTCGGCACTGTCATTCGCTGAGCTGCCTCCGTAAGTTGCGGTGATTGGCTCTCCGAGTGTTGTGCGTGAAAGTAGACGCACAAACATTTTTTAGAGTGTACTTCACTCTGGCCACCTGGCATCCGGCAGGGGCCACGTGAAACAAGATCGATTTCCAACGTAGAGCCGGGAAGGAGAACCACCGATTGCGGAGGTGTCTGGGCTCGTCCTGCACCATCTGTGTCTCCCCTCCCTCGAGTCTTCTTCGTCTTAAATTTCCAACAGTGTTACGTAAGGTGGGCTTATTTCGTTTCGAGCAGGCAGGACCAGAGCACGAAAGTATAGGACTCCGGATTCCTCTATAAATTCAACACACACTTTCTAGCAACACCGGGAAAATAATGAACTCCTTTTCTTCAATTCTGCCGACTCTAGATAACTTTTTGAGAAGAGTTCATGAACAGTATAAAGACTGCTATCTATCATTGTGCCAGCCCCATGGTTCCCGCGTCCGATAGGCAAAGTGTACGGAACCCCTAAAAATCTGTCTCCATAAAAAACCCAAAACAATGTTTTTTTGTGTGTTCTTCTTTAAATGAAGTATTGGGAGACTGGAAACCGTGGCAGGAAAATATATGGACCTCGGTGGCGTAATTTCTGCTCGAAAGAAACTGGGCCACGCTCCCAGCCTCGGCTCTGGTAAGCCCCGTTTCATCGCGAGCGAACGGGAGTCGAAATCGCGGCCGACATCTCGGGTCCGGCCGGAGTCTTCGGGACGAGCGACTGCGGAGCGACCGAAGAGTTTTACGGCCAGTGCAGGCGGCGTATCGCGTCCGGCTGTCTCAAGGCCTGGCGCGGGCCGCTTCGCTAAACGCAGGGAACAAAAGCGGAGCCCCGGGGTTTTCCCTCAACCAAACCACGCGCGTCCCGGCGCCCCGAGGCATCGATCTCGCATCCGAAACGCACGCGGCGTCTGTTTGGGACACGGCGCCGATGGAGCCGGCCAATCGCCGCTCCCCGCTCGGAAGGCCACGGGTCAGAGGGGACAGCGGGGTCAGAGGCGCGCTCTGGACCAGGCTCTCACAACGCAGCGCCTATCAAATGAAAGAACAAAATAATCTCTAGAAAAGTGAGGCGTTGAAGCCGAAACTAGAGTTCAATTCCATCTTTCGCGTGGATGCTCACGAGACGTTTTAGTCACACACAGTCGCAACTGTTCACCCTTAAGCTGAGACTAGAAGCTCCGACTTCAGCGCGAGCTCCATGCCTTCTTTAACGCAAGTGCGAACGCGCAAGCACGCGCAACCAAAGCACTGCGGAAGCCAGCGAGCTCGCGCTGAAGGTGGAGCTTCT